CTGTATCAACAACTCAATTCGCTCGGAGGACTCAGCGAATTTGCTTCAACTGACACATTTGCCCGCACGCCAAATACGCATGAGATCATGCATGGACTGAACCTTTATCCTGCGATTCACCGGCTCTCTAAGTGTCATGCTAGTTACTATTGGGCAGCTGATCGAGATAGGGTCATGTAATGTGCAAATCGATTTCATGGAGCAGAACCTAGGTAGAAAAAGGATTAGTGGCAGCCTCGCATAGTCTGAGGAGCAATACTATGCAACTTACCTTGTGATGTGAATCGCGGCCGAATAACAGTACAAAGAGGAAGTTGCCGTAGCTCGGCTTGTCACTGTGCTAGAATCCACTTGAGAAGGTATCAAGGATATCATAGATCACGAAAAGTACAAAAATGTAGTGTACAACACGCGGAGTAGTCGTGAAATACAACCGAGCTAAATAAGCCCAAGAAGAGTTTAGTTGGATGTGGATCTTACGCCTTAAAGAGGTACAGTACAGCTATTGCACGGCAGCAAGTTAGTAGTTAATCTTTCTAAGGTAAGACTGTACCCAAGCGACTTGCATTATTGACAGAATATCGATGACACAAAGATGATGGCGGATAGAGCAAGCAACTTTTCAGTTTAGCAAGGAAATGGTGCGCATAACTCAACTGATACCAACAACACCACTGATTTTCATAAGCTCAGCTAGGTTAAAGTCAGCAGATGAAAAACGGGAACTACTGCTATGCTCACTCTAATGGCTGGCACGTGAACCAGAACATGAGGCACTAACATCATTATGGGAATCAGTAGTCAGTTACTTGCCGAGATTATTGACCTTACACGGATGTTCCCGGGCGATTTTTCTTGAGATGCATGGTCCAACATAGACACTAGAAACAAAAGTTGTTGGTCCTTGAAATCCAAATTCCAAACTTCAATCCAATGCCAGGAATCGTTATGCAGTACTTGGATTCCAGAGATAATTGTCGATTGCTACACCCAATTCTTCACTCAAATTCAAGAACGTATGTTGAATACTTTAAGCGACAAGCGCTTGGAAGCCTGGAGCTAACACAGTCCCAACGGAATCAAAACTACAAGGTCGGTGCTGGGTAATCGGTACTAAACTATCAGCGTTTCTAGCAGAACTCCGAAACAACAACTAAAAATCACCACATAGTAGCCACCTGATATGATTACACTTTCTGGTTGGCGGCATCCGGTTTCGGATTTGCCTGTCACTGTGGCCAAACACAGGACGCCTGCGCCTACAGAGGGACCATGGATGGCTTGCGCTGCACCACCCACAGCTCCAACCACACACCCCATATCCAGTGTAAACCCGAAGGAATAAGACCGGGAGGCATGTGGATGGGAGCCACGTTTCATCAACGGAGCCGGCCCACACTCCTTCACAAGCAAACGCAAGCACGCTGTATTTGGGAAACAAGCGCACACAATGCGGTGGCTGGACCGTAGTCCGCTCCACACTGAGTGCATGAAACCACTCTTCGAGCCTAGCACGACCACAAGGATCGTGCACCCCGTCCCCTCCAGTAACGACCAACTGTCTCCTGGAGCCCGTATTGACGAGGTAGTGAGTAATAGACAGGTAGGCACCTTGTCAACATGCACATCAAGCGCAACCACACCGGTTATATAAAGCAACAGCCAATCACCTGGAACGACAAAATGAAATAAAACAAATCCAATAATGCATACAGATTCAGTGGCATAACTCTAAGCTAAGTAAGCATATGAAGTAAGTTGGTTAGCAACGAATCCGCGATAAAGAAAAAATGTCCACAAGGTAGTTAAAAATGCTACAAAACGCAAAAAAGTTACCGAAGATAAGCGCAATTAATGTACTCAACGTGGCCAGTTAATAGAAGAGTATTCAGGTAGGCAGAACAAACCAACTGAAGTGGAATGAAATTTAGCCAGCTTAAAAAGACCTTGTTTAAGTGTATGTTGGTTTAGCCCAACTGCAGTGAAGAAGCATCAAGAATGCAACATCAGCCTCAGCATGGGGCACACATACATACATGGTTGGCGGTACCCGGTTTCGGATTTGCCTGTCACTGTGGCCAAACACAGGAAGCCTGCGCCTACAGAGGGCCCATGGGGGGCTCGCGCTGCACCACCCACAGCTCCAACCACACACCCCATATCCAGGGTAAACCCGAAGGAATAAGACCGCGAGGCATGCGGATGGGAACCACGTTTCATCAACGGAGCCGGCCCACACTCCTTCACAAGCGAACACAAGCACACTGTATTTGGGGAATCAAGCGCAAGTGCACTTCCTACCCATTTGCATACATACATACTTGGATTGGCGGCATCCGTGTTCGGATGTGCCTCTCACTGGGGCTTCCATGGGGGACACCAAACAACAGTTAAGAATTGTCGAGGAAGCTCGGGACATCAGAAATTTAGAGAAATATCGTGCCTTGATGGAGTTACTCTGTAGAAGAAATCCGCAAAAGGTATCAGGAAATCCCAAGCCTACTTTTGAACGACGGTACGGCAACAGATGATATAGTCCAAACATGTGATTCAGTGAATTTCTACTTGCCGCGTCGTTTACTACTGCATCATCTGTATCTTCTCCTCTCCTTCTAAGAATGACGGAAGAGGCACTATGTACCATTTCTCTGAGTCTAAATGAGGTACAGATGAATATTGCATCCATGAAACCGACATTCTATCCAGGACCTGATATTATTCCCCCTGCAGCTATAAGGTGGCGAAAGCGTACCCATCATGTTGTACATTTGTATACTGTTATTAAAGACTGACTGTTTCCCTCAGTGGAAAAATTTCATAATTGTGCTGAAACACAAAGGTCGGATGTCAAACTATCGGCCGATAAACCATACTTCCACCGTCGCTATGGCCTTAGTCTCGTCAAGAATCAGGTAACGCAGTTTCTGACAAGACGAAAGTTACTCAGCAGTTCCCAGCATGGGCTCACTATAAAACGTCCCTGGATCATATGCCAATTACAATTCCTCATTCATATTGCCGTAACACTTGCTAGTGGCATGACCATCATCATCATTTTTCTCGATATGCAAAGGGCGTTTGACTGTGTACCGCACAAACCATTGTTGGACGTGCTTGGGTCCTAGGGAATCCACAATCCTCTGCTGAGCTGGTTCGACTCCTCTGTTCCATCGTTCACAAAGTACAAATTTGTCTATAGTGTTCTGCTCCCAGAAATGTCACTAGTGCTGTCATTCTGGGGAGTGTTTTAGGCTTTTTTTACAAATGACATATGTGATTTTATTAGACACGGGCACTCATTTTATTCACAAACCACATCAAACCGGTGTACTCATTTCTACCTGACCACCTAGAACTATGCCTTAAAAATCTACGCGATGGCCTATCATCCCTAAACAAATGGAGCGAAAGCAGGTCAATAAGGTTTTCGGCAGATACATCCCAGGTACTCTGCCACAGATCCAGTCTACCAGAAGGATCCATCACTCTCATTGGTACCCCCATCCCAACTGCGTATTCCATTCGGGACTTGGGAATTCGTTACTCCAGTAGCTTCAACTTCTCCGAATACATCCTACACCAAGTACCGAAAGCGAAGCAACTAACAAGCTACATCACTAGGTCATTCTTACTATCTCAAACACGACTTAAGTCATTCAGACTCATAGTGCTACCAACTCTATAGTACTGCACCACCATACCTAGTCACCTACGCAAACAGATAGAACTGCTTTGGCAAATGTCCAGCACTCCTTTACCAAATTACCCATGGGGCGCTTATCAACAATTGCCTATGAGGAACGGTGTTCTTACTTCAAGCTCGACCCACTCTGGATTCGACGGTTGAAAATCAATTTTACTCTTCTCTACAGTATAATATACTCTCGAGTCTTCTCAACCCTACGGCTGTCGTTTGATAAGGTGGCTCAACCTATCCCACTCGTAACGGGAAATGCATACTATTCTTACAGACGACCAAGCAAAATATCCGCTTCAATTTCTTTTTGATGAAGTACATCCATTTGTGGAATAAGCTACTGTTGTAATCAAAGACCAGGGAGAGCCTGTTTGTATTTAAATCTCATATAAACACTTTTCCTTCTTTGCCAAATGTGGTCAAACATTTTGTCCTTCAGAAATCCACGAGCGCACTCACAGAATCCGACTCGAAAATATATGATAAAACTAACTTTCCAGTAATGTTACCTACAAGTTCAACAACACACTGCATCACTGAGGTATGTTGAATGCAAATTCATAAATGAAATGTTGACGAAACTCACTGTACAAGTGATCGTTCCACAAAAAGGAACCTATCCCGCTCGTCGGGAACTATACCCATTTATTTATCTACCAGTCCGAAACGCGATCACAGCCCTTAACTGTTTTCGCGTTACTGATCCGGGTTCCCCTGTACTCATATGTTTACATGGCAACGAAGCATCAATACCAAGTACTGACGTCGGTTAGTAAACTGAGTTTCACATTCGGGTTTCACATGATTTCATTTGCAAGTTGGAGATTATATCTGTAAATGAGAAGTATGGCCATTTACTACTCTGTCGAATGCCTCTCGACTTTAGCGCTGTTCCACACTTCACTTTCGGGGATGGTGTAGCTTAGCTACACGTTTGGTGCCACTTACAGCTTTGTTATTTAGGAAACCGTTGCGACCCGGTTTTCTCAGCAAGTGCCCCTACGTTTCCGTCCTATGATAAACAATTTCCTGGTCTCCGATCAATGATATTTATTCGGATACTTTATCTGGTTGGTTAAACTCTTGTCGGTACTCGAATTTAAGTATGTTTGAGCGGACGGGAGATTTCTAGTGTTGTGTCACTTTACGTGGATCTTTCTTGCCCTAGCGGATGCTTGTGTGCTCGTGTCTCCACTATTCTTGCAAATGACGACTTCCTCTTTTTTCCAGAAAAACCGACTTCATTTTACGACTTATTCTTCTGACCCACAATTTACCGTATTACCTACTCCTTTTTTTCTAGCAACCTGAGCGCACGAACAAGCCTTACAACACCCAGTCAGCAAGAGGGCACTTCAAATGAATTACCGCACCCGAACATTGCAACCTATCCTCTGCGTTCCGAACCAGCAGTTGCCCGTTGTCAAACGTTTCACGGAACGTCTGCTCCAACTGCAACTGTCAGTTCTCCCGATCCATCGATAGGCTCCCACAATACTTCCAATTGTGCCACCACTGCCCCATCCATTGCACTACACCAATTCGCAAACGATCCAGGACCCTATGGGGAACGGGAAGATGTATTGGTGTTCGTCCAAAAAATCACTCCAAATGCACATCAGCTGTTTGTTCGATTTGCCGCCACTGGAAAACGGTAGGATGACCGGCGTGGGGTCGATTCGTATCTTTTACTGCTATTAGTATCATTCATTATCTTCACACTTCGCACTGAAATCCACTCCAGGCGAAAAATATATATATATATATATATATATATATATATATATGTAAAATTATACTCAACCCAAGAGGGGGATATGGATCCATGTATGCGTACGACTCACCAACGCAAGATTACATTGTGATAACGCTCATTTATAGCAAACGCCTGCGTATTGGGTCCGTTTGCTCACTGGAATTGGATGCAGGTAGAATTTATTCGCTATGGATATAGCGAAAATTCAAATAGGCGTTTGTGAGCCACTTTTGCTGGCTTCTCTCATGTTGCTGAATTTGTTAGTCCGAGGGAGTCACGCAGTATTGGATATATTTCAGTGCTAGCTGGGACCAAGATGCTGACAACTCCTGGTCTTTCTGCACAGTTGCTTCGGAGATTCATTCTTTCAGGTTACCCTTTTAGTTGATGCACAACATCGTTTACTTTCAAATTGACTTAGCGTTAAAGACTTAACCGATTCGGTATCTTCGCTCATTTCTAAAACTTTGACGCTTGTTATTCTTCGTTGTCTCTGGCGCCGACATAACCTCAGGCTTTCTTATTGACTGTGTCTCCGATGAAACGATACCAGCACTTTGTGGGACTTGATTCAATAATGCATGATCTTTGGCGAGTCTTCGAACACCGCTTCCTTCAGAGCATGATAATGGCAGTATCACATAACTAATGGGGACTTTCATCGACGGGAATTCCACTCAGCTAGACTGCTGATTATTAAGATGCATAGTTTCACTATGCGGACTTCTACTAACGTGTCATATACTTCATATCACTTCTCGGTGATTACCTTGCTATACCCTCTGTACACGCACTGGTGTTGACTGGAAACGCTAACGAAGCGACGGGCGTATAAATTAGACCTCAATTCTTGTCCGTCGTTTTTCTGCGGAACGAGAATTCTGGACTATGCAAAAGTAAACAGCTTTTTGCCTGGGACGGGTCTGTATAGACTATATATTCACCTTGTAGCAGGTGCTTGAGAAGTGCCACACATATGGCAGGTCGACAATAGCTGTTCCTGGACTTCAAGAGTCTGTTCGACTCAGTCAATTGATTCATTCTGTACAAAACATTCCACGTGCCATGTACCCGGGCACCACATGCCACGTCATGCTTTACGATGACTTGTCGGATATCCCTCCGACCGGAAGTGCCGTTTGTCAGTTGTTTACTTTCCTCTTTTGCGCAACTTCGTTGTGGACTTATAAATAAATGGGTGTTTTCCGATGGGCGGGATACGTTTCCTTTTGCAGAATCTAGCGATGCGAGCGTTGAGGTGCTGCCTCGTGGAAATCTTTTTGATCCTAATAATGTTTGGGTGGCTCAGTCAACCCTGGATTGCCTCTAGTCTTTCAAATAGTGCGTTCGCTGTCTTCTAGCCCGCTTACCCGTTTAAAATGCGTTTGGTGTTGACTTATCTGCGGGGTTATGACACTGGGCAGTGAAAGCCGCAAGGAAGCTGTCTTGTCGATGCCGCCTTATCTTTACACGACAGCCAGCTGTTTCTGACGGTAAGGTGTAGACGCTAAGACCCGGTATGTTTGCTTAGAGCGTTCACATTTTATGCGATATTCCCATTCTCTCCTACCTATTATTGTTCATTGCTTGAGTCATTGTAGCTGTGCAGCTTCGAAGCATCAGTTCAATGAGGTGATGTACTGCTGTTGATGATGATGATGATGATGTCTTTTCTTGTCCCGCTGCTTCACACGGACCCGATGTGTACTAATCGATCTACTACCTCACATATCCCTCTTCGACGATAGCCATATCAGTGCACTGGTCAACTATTAAACTCCTTTAAGCTCATCGCCTGCCCCTGGCCTTAAAGATTACGACCCCGTCTTGTAATCCGAGGTCGTGGGTTCCAGCCTGCGTAACTCTCGTAGTCTCCTTAGCCCACACGCGACGTGGTGGTTGCTCGGCATCGAAGCGTCCCTACTGCGCACCGATGTACTGCTGATGCCATTTTCAACTCATCAGTTGAACCAGTGATCTTTTATCCACTGGAGAATAGGGCATAGATTCTACTCCCTGTGTCACTCGTAATTCCCGTTAGTGAGTAAACTCAACCTTTCTATGTTTTTCTGTAGACTGCAATTTTTTCCTTACGAACATTTTAAGCTTTGTATCTACTTTCAAACCCATTACTTAGTAGTCCGCCTTTGTATAAGCTAGTAAGGGTTGTCAGTTCATCGGGATAGTCTTTTGTCCACTCTCTTTACATAGCAAACTTTCCTGTTTGTTTAGTCAGCCGACCTGCTCGTCAGACTATTTCCTTTGCAGTACTTTTTTACTTGCAAAATCCCAGCGGTATGAAATCAAGCCAAGGTTAAGGTTTTACTCCTTGTACACATTGTTTCATTAGCTACCGCATTTTTCAACATGGGCTAGTCATTGTGGTTTGCCAGTTGCCGTCGGAATTTATTAATTTAATGGAGTGTTGCCGCTTGTTTCCACTACCCGGAACGGTGACATGCTATCCGGAAGTGTTGGCACATCGACAGTGGTAGTCAGATTTCTTTTCCTGCCTTTTCTCATGTTTCTGCGCCCACATCAATCGCCAATCATAATCGCAAAGTAGCTGCATGGTACTCACTTATGCGCTCTTCGTTTTATTTCCGACCAGGTAATAGGCTTCATGTTTCTTATGCCTATGCTCGAATCCACCATCTGCACTTAATGACTTTGTGGAATTCTTCTTGTTCTCCGAGCTTATTCATTCAGCTTGCAGATGTTTCTTCGCCGGGCTCAGCAACGTCATCAGTGCGACTTCAAGGATCTCGTTCGCGGAACCCCGTAAGCGACTTCGACATCTAAGCGGTTATCGATCGCCTTGTGTAACACAAAGCTGCATGAACACAGCCTAGCCATTCATCGCTTTGATCAGTACTCTCTGATGTTCGTACATATTGGTGTCGAAAGCTATCAATTCGACCTGGAGCGTGCCAATATCCCCTCAATGAAACAGCCGACAAGCGCTTGAGCTCATTAAAGTTTGGCGCTCAAAGAAGGACTCGATCATAAGTACTTTGGTCTCGAAGTCGCTCATGATGCTCCGCGAACCAAACCCACTGAAGCCGCACTGATAATGTTGCATAGTCTGGTAAGGAGTTGTCTACAACAAATCATTCAGCTCGGCGAACAACGCAGTATGCACAATCACACCCCTAGCTGTGGACATTCTCGGCCGCTTTTTGGCTTTTCCAGACTGGTTTTGTTTACGTTATCTTGTCTTCGTTTCCATTTTTGTGTCCGCCTTGTCTGTGTAGGATGAGCATTTTCCACTCACTAGTCTTTCTTTACCACTATGTGTCTTTTTTGTTCGCCTCAGAGTTTGTGTCATTCGTTCGGTGGATGCCACTCCCATCACTTCTTTTTGTGTACACGAACATGATGGCTCTAACCGCGTCGGTGCCTACCCACGACGTTATCTGTTCACCGGCCACATAGACGGATCAATACAAGTAAGGAATTGTCTCCCAACTGCCTTCTGTCTTCACTCTGTGTTGTAATCAAATCAAGGATCCCGCCGAAATTCACCGGGAGCGTTTAGCCAGATTTAAATAACACGAGAACATCCTATTTCGCCCAACGTATTGTTATTTCACTTTTCCTGCATCCTCTATCACTTCTTCATGCTTATTCCTATTTGCCTCACTGTCCAAATTGCTTAACGGCGTCACCGCGATTCCAACACATCATACCTCAGTGTTTTTCGTTAGCTACATCTTCTATCAACCGCCGCTCGCGTTCTGCTTTGAAGATAAGTGTTCTGGTGTTTTTCTGTTTTCCTTATATTTCGCAGGCTTGGGACCTGTCAACTGCTCTGAACTCTTTTAAACACGCCAACCTACTTGGAGCAATGCAGTCACTTACCTCGGGTGCGTCTCACAGTACTGAGTGTTTGACTGTTCTCTTGCTCACTGAGTTTATTACGTCTTCCGATGCATTTCTAGATTATATACAATCTACTCTTTCTTAGGTATCCCTGGCATGGTAGTATCCCTTTTATTCTCCCTGGAATTTAGAGGTCCCTGCTTTCAATGAACTACACATTCACCATTCACTGTCGTCCTGCTGCCAAAACAGCATGGGCTGTCGAGTAAATACTGGTTACCTTTAGCTGTCGTCAACTTTGGCCTTACACTCGGGGCCTTCAAATCGGCCGTTGCTGTTTCTTTTTGGAGTACAATTTTTACGCTATCTACTGGGAACTTACCCATTTTGACGTCCTGTTCTCCCAGTTTTGTCTATCTGAATAATTCTGAAGTCATCATTGTTATCCAACTGTTGATTTTTTGAAATTGTTCCGAGACGCAGCACGCGGTCAGAATGTCAGAAATACCGACAAACGAAACATTTAAAAAAAACTGGTAAAATGAGAAAGCATCGTGCTGGTTTGCAAGCTGGACTCAGATGCTGCCCTATAAACAGAGTGAAATTTCGCTTGTTCTCTCCAGCAATGTGCGCCCTCGATAAAATTGCTGACCTCGGTGGCATTATGGATCGTAAGGAATACGCAAACGCAGGTACTATAATGTTACAAGAAGGTTTGTCACATTCTGTTGTGGACAATGAAGTTATTCAACCCGGTGAATACCGTGTCGCAATGGCCGACTACCTTGGAAACCCCAGTCGCGGGGAAGTGTTGTAACCTATGTCTACCAATTATGATGTACTTCGATGACCTTATTGTCCACCTATTCGACATCAAATATTAGCTGTCATTTAATCAAGTGTAATGCGAAATTTTTGTTTAGATTTCTTTTCTTTGTCAACGGAAGCATCTACCTAACCCCCGACACACCATCACCTGAGCTCAAAAATCTTGTAAATCATTTCTTCCCAGCGTTCTGCTTAAAATTGAGTGCTCCACGTGTATCGTTGCTGATGACTTTAACTAAACTGCTACGACATTCATCAAGACACTTGGTCTAAAATTGCGGTATTTTTGAAACCAGATTTGATGGATAGTTGGATTTCGTTTTCACCAAAAAACTCTATTGTTTTCCACTTTAAATCTGAATCTTCTCGGCACTTCAGACCACTGCGTCCTGAAGATATGCAGCAAAACCAAAATTGTGTTTTTGACAAAATCCTCTTCAAAACCATCATACGGCCAGAATGCTAGACAGAAAATATCGCGGAACTCTAAGCGATTTTGGCTTCAACTGACTCCTCAGTTTTCGCGGACGAAAACTTATCTTCGGAGTGTGAACAATTTATCGAATATATCAACTACTGCCTTGTTGAAACTCTCTACCCACGCATGGACAGATTCTCTTCACTGTTACTAAAGTAAATTAGATGAAAGAAAATATGGTCATAAATTCAAACTGTCCGTCCAGGTTAAACAACTATCTTTGGCCATAAAATCAAAAATTATGCGATTGAATCGTTTATACATTAAGACAACATTACATGGTCACAATTGTCACGACTTTTGGAGCTTTTTAAGCAGCTGAATAGCAGAATTTCCCTAGAGTATCTTGATAACTTGAATGTGGGCAAACCAAATGCAGAGTTGGGTACTTCCCCACCGAATATGTGTGTTCCCTACCCTCCTCCTACACTTCTCACAACCACCCTTGATCGCCTCGATTTTTACAGGGAACTTAAAAATTGTAGATAACTAACGCTGCTGGACCTGATGTTTTATCACCACACGTTCTAAATGAGTGTGCGGATTATTTAGCGGTACCCTCAACCGCTGTCTTCATAGTGCCACAATCCTTGAGATTTTGAGATGTAAAGATAACGCCAGTGCCCAAGAAGGAGTCTCAAAACCATGTACTTTGGTCGTGTTGAAAGTCCTAGAGCAACTGCTTGTCACTCAGACTGTCCATCGTACACAGGCAGATGATGTATGCCAGTTTGCCTATAAACCCAACCGCTCCACACTAGATGCTGTGTCGTATCTTGTGCATTCAGTATCATCTGCACTGGATGAAAAACGCAGAGCAGTGCACCTGTTTCTTGACTATTCATATGCTCTTGTGAGAATCAATAGATAAATCCTGCTCGACCATCTGCTTACAAGCAGGATTCAAACAAATGTATGCAGCGTGACCAATGACAACTTTACAAAGCGCACTTACTTCACCCAGCTTAACGGAACCGTGCCCCGATCGTGATGTCTTACAAAGGGCGATTCTCTCCCTTCCTCTATTTTCTTTACATATCGAAATACTTCCTACACCGTCCAAATTTATTGGATGAATGTATGCTCATGCTGTGGTTATGGGATGTATTGCTCCGAACTTTAAGACATCTGTTCAGAGCGCTGTAGACACGTTTGGGCTGTGGCCTTCGTTCCCGTATCTCATTTCGAAAATTTCTAAATGTTGCGGCGAAACATGCTCTTTTCAAATCACGGCAAGTCAAGTCAAATTAGGCTTTATGCACCCGGGTAGATGCATCTTCAGCATATCACACTATTATTGTGGATGGTGAGGTATATGGAATTAGTGTTAAGCAAAAAATAAAACGTCAAAAATTGCCTGCACATATCACTCAAGCAAATAATTTCGCATCATACTGATAGTTTTGGTTGGGTCAACAAGCAAGCGGGACAGGTACATTAGAACAGAATTGCAGTACGATGCAGTACGAGCAAATTGAACCTTAAATTTGGAGCCAGTAGAGGAAATAGATGGTGTTTTTGATCGGTCACAATTTAGTGGGTGACTAGGATCGTTTAGAATTTTGGAGGAAAAGCTGGTACGACCGTCTAGGTGCTTGTTAACAATAAAATCCACAACGGACTCTAGACAATCCACTGCATCTGGAAATAAGCTTTATGAACCGTATTATCAATGTGTAATCTTACTTGAGTAACTCAGGGAAGATTACTGGTCAACAGTAGAGTCCACGCGGCATTATACATGCAGTCACAAACCTGAGCACCTAATCGCGGAGTACTGATAGTACTTTAAGTCAAGGAGCGTAGAAAGACAACCGTCTAACCTTACAAAATGTTTCGGCAACGTGTACAGACGAAGATAAGTTTCGGGATAAAAAGCCCCTTAGTACTTAGCGATCTGGTTATGAACTGGTCACTCACTGCCAATGGAGAAGTGGTGTCCAAAACAACTCGTAACTTATCAGTTTGGAGCAACGAGAGTGATACGTCACGACATTTAGAAGGGTTCGAAATCAGCGATCGGGTCGATGACCAAAGCACAAGCTCATCTAGAACATTATGAAAAGTTGATGTCCCAAGGTTTGAAGTAACGCATCCCAAAGCGACATCATCAGCATACTTCAATGATAGTGAATTAGTGAAAAAGATGCTATTTGCCAGAAGAATTAAAACACATACGATAGGCTAATGTATATTCGAGGTATTCAATGGCTATCTGACTGAAAACCATCACAATGCAGAACATAGGTGCAGGTGCAACAGATGGTGTGACTGCAGTGGTCGAAGATATAAAGCATTTACTGTCTATCTTGAAAATGTTTTCCCTTATGTTCATACAATTCACTGTCTAATTCATCGAGAGCACCTACTAGCTAAGAACTTGAGAGGTCGCTTAAACGATTCACCATCAACTGCTCTAATAGTAGTCAACAATATCAAATCGCACTCTCTTCAAGGTCGTCTTTTCCAGCAGTTGTGTGATGAGAACAGTGAAGATTTCCAGTTTCTTCTGTTACATACCGTGGTTAGCTGTCTCTCCAACGGGAACTGTCTTCTCTCTGTTTTGTTGCACTGTGGGACACTATCATCGCATTCCTTCTGGAATTGATTATGAAAGAAAATTGTTAATAGCTAAGGCAGACGTGTTTTATCTGACTGAAAAACTCGACTAATTAACTAAAACGCTTCAAGTCAAGTTAAGTTATCTCAAGCAAAGAAGCCATTATCGCCTTCCATAAAAAGCTGGGAGTCAATGCTAAAAATATCAGAGTTCGAACATTTTTACGGTTCCCAATTCTGGCTACAACAACGGCGAAGTTAAAGGATGAACACTTGATTGTTTTCACCAGTCATTTACAACAATTCCGAAAAATAACTGAAGTACAACTTACACGACCTGATTGATATGTAGATCCCGATCTAGATTTTAGATCCGTTTCATGTACAGCCCTGCCTTGTTGGTGTTAAAGTCCAGGAAAGTCTCATAAGGCTTTAATGTGACACACTAGCAATATCCAAATTCACGCATTATAAGAGGGATTTTTGGATAAAGGCTGATGCTCCTAACATATATCCAAGACTACTCACAGTCTGTGTGT